ATAGTTACGGTCAACTATTGAGAGCCAAAAGGCCTTACTAGATTAATTAACTTAAGAAATCTCAGATATTGAAAGCTCAACTTAGATTTTAAAGGAGTAAAACTAAAAGCTTGAAAATATTCTTCCATATCTTTAAATTCAAGCTGATAAAATAGCAACCTAGTCAAACAGTAAAATATTATATTAAAATTTTATAGATGGTATTCAAGCATCAACCTATGAAACTAACTCATAATTATTGCAGCAAGATTCAGACGACAGATTGGTCACTGCTAACTTCGGATATTTTTATGAATAAAAAGTCAAGTCTGACGAGTCAGTCTATATAATGGGTGAATTCAATCAATGGTAGCCTTAATTAATGGAGAGAGTAACTGATAATATATTTGCCTTTGAAACTAAGGTACTACCAGGTTACAAGTACAGATTCAATTTCAAAGTGGGTGAAAATTTAAGGCATGATCTTAACCAAGATAATGAAAAGGATGAAAATGAGCAAGATGTCAACTTCAAATATGTATTAGAAAATTCTTCAGACATCATTAACAAAGACGAGCTCATACAAATACCTCTATTTGTTCATCCTGAGCTAAAACCTCTACGTGTGGAAGGTCTAAAGTAAATTCAATTAAAAGATGCTGAATTGCAAGAGACTACTCCGCATGCTACCAATGAAGTCTTACAAAATTTATAAAATAATGATGATGATGCTAAAATTCAATTACTGAGCCTTCTCTTAAGGAGAAATAGATATGTGCTATCAAAACTAGAGAATTTAAGAAAAATTAGAAAGTTTGCAGAAGCCTCAGCTAATTCTGAAGTTATTTAATCAAGTTCTGAGCAAATTTCCAACTTCGAAGATGAAAATCTGAAAATTACAAAAGCAATTAAGTTTTTGATAAGAAGTAGAATCGCAAGAAGTATTAATCAAAGCGAATATTATTACATTAATTCATTCAGAGGTGATGCTAATGAGCTTGAATTGAGAAGAGTTTACGATAACTCTGGTATACTACTAATTGACTATTAAGCCAGTGAGTTTAGCATAGTAAATACCAATGAAAAGTACTTCTTAGAGAGCTTTTAAGTTCTATCAAAAGAGGATGAGAGACAATTCAGAAATGATTTAATCAATAACAAAGCTCACACTTTGCTAATAAGATATAAGATTGTAATAAAAGAAGACTATGGATACTACTAATTAAAGGAGTGTCAGCCAGTTGAGCTTTAACCACAACTTCCCATTGATTAATATACCTACAACATTGATTATAGCAATTTCTTCGTCTATAGGGTTACTAGAGGAAATTATGGAGATGTCAAAAATGAAGCTTATAGAGTTGAAGAGGAAGCCAAAAATGCTCAAGATAGATCTCTTCAATTCTACACAAATGAGGTAGCAAGCAATATCTTAAATATTATCCACATGCATATAGATGATACAAGTGAATAGGTTGCCTTTGAGACATACTACCTTAATGAAAATTAAAGTACCTAAGACTTTATAGATTTCAGTGGCAGTAATGTTAATTACAAGATTCTAGTTAAGGACTAAAGAATTCACAGAGTATTGTATTAAAAAGGCTCAGAACCTGCTAAGGAGCTAAGATTCTATGAATATAGATTCAACAAAGGTACATATGCAAATGTTGACTACTCAAACAAGCTCGAATACTCCACAGAGAATTTGCTTGCACAGGTAGTTGAAATTCCAATTGGAATATTAGTAAGCTAAGACTAAAATGTTGCTGCTAATTATCCCTAAGTTCAACTACAACACAACCCCTATGGATTTTGTGCATTAAGATGCTTGCATTAAAGTCTTGGAGGTTATGTCGATGTGAATGTACTTTCAGTTGACAGTGGGGAATCTCTTCTTGAAAGTTAAGAAAAGATTGCTCTCCCTCCATGCTTGATGAATGATCCTTAATGGGATAAAAAGGAGAAATACATTTCTAAGTTATAATTAGATGATTGGACTCCAATTGATATTACTCAGAATTGAGGAAATCACAAACAGTGATTTAAGAAAATTTAAACTTAATTTCAATATAAAGCGATCACGATAAGATTTTTTCAATCGATATAATCATTTATAAATTAAGTTTTATGAAAATCAAAATGCTGCAGAAAATTCTTTATAAGGGGTTTTGGGGTTTTGGGGTTTTGGGG